ATAGCCTTATCAAACAAAAACACCAAAAAACAGAGAGAGATAAAAGAGAATTAAGCAGAGACAATCACAAAACAAAAATAGCTGATTCTACACAAATAACTTGGAAAAGTCAACAATGTGGATTTTTTTGAGGAAAAATGAAAATTACCAAAATTGATACACTTCTCCCAAAGAGGAAACTCGAGAATCTTGGAAATTTGGAGGAACAGAACTACTCCTAAAAGTGCAGCAAGCCCCAATACCTCAGAGTGACGTATTTTAAACTTTGCAGAAACGATCATCCCGTCACCATTTAAAGAAGCAGTTCTCGGTCTTAGCACCGAGGCCAGCAGCATCAGCATCATCTGAGAACTTGTAGAAATGCAGATTCTGAGGTCCCGCATCACAGCTACTGAATCAGAAATTCTGGAAGGGGAGCCCAGAAATCCATGTTTTAACAAATCTTCCATGTGATTCTGACCCACACGACACTCTGAGAGCCCCTGTTCAACCGTGCTGCACCAAGGGTGGTCTCCAGCAGTACCAGTATCACTGGGGAGCTGTGAAAAAATGCAGAATCCCAGGCTCAGCCCAGACATGCTGCGCTGGACTCTGCATTTGTCAAGATCCCCAGGGGACTCACGTGTCTGTTTGAGAAGCACTGCCTTCAGCTCTGGGCTTCCCAGGTGGCGCTAGTGGTAAAGAACCTGCCTATCAATGCAGGAGACCTAAGAGATGAGGGTTCAATCCCTGGACTGGGAAGATCCCCTAGAGAAGGAAATGGCAACCCACTCCAGTATTCTTGCCTGAAAAATTCCATGGACAGAGCAGTCTGGCAGGCTACAGTTCATGGGGTTGCAAAGAGTTGGACACGACTTAGTGACTAAACAACAACAAGGCAGAGATCAACAGACTGACCATTAATGGGCGAATTGTTGAATTTGGGTCAAAGGTCTATTCCCCTCTACTCCCCCAGCCCACCCAGTTTTTTCCAGAAGCTTCTGTCTGGGCATGTTTCCTCATCTGGAACATGAAAGAGTTAGATTAGATCTCTAAAGACCTGGTCAGCTCTAATATTCCAGGATTCTTTCTTCTGTTCATTCATTCAGCTGGTTTTCAGGAGCTTACAGTCTAGCTGGGAAGACAGTCTTCCAATGATGCCACAAGAAAATATACAAGGGCACCATGGAAGGTGTTACGAAGGAGGGGACAGGTGTGCTCAGTGGCATTGGGTTGGCCAAGAAGCTCATTCGTGTTTTTCTGTACCATCTTACAGAAAAACCCAAATGAAGTTTTTGGCCAGCCCAATACTAAGAGTCTGAAGGTGGGGGCTGAGGTTGGGAGAAGAGTCTGGGGGAGCTGAAAGGGGGGAAACAGGCAATAACAGGGAGAGTAGGATGTGGGGAAGGCTAGTCATTCCAGGGAGCAGGAAGTCGGCTCACATGCAGCAGGACGACCAAGCCCTGAGGACTCCAGAAAGCATAAACAGGCATTCAGCTGATATTTGTCCAGTGTATCTAAGCTGCATCAATGCAGATAATCTTGACCTGATATTCTGGCAGGGGCAGAGAAGAGAAGCTTGGGTAGCATATTTTGCTTGTCTCTAGAGTGCCCTTTGAAGAGCTGACTCTCTGAGACCCGCATCACTAAACAGACATCCACACTCAGACATGGAATCTTTCATCAGCCAGCCCGCAGTCAGCTTCACAGAACCACATGGTTAAAGAAAATCCACCAGTGACTCCACAGGCCAGGTAATGCTCTCAGGGGCAGGTGACAGTCACCAAAGCACCAAAGAAACTCACGAGGTGCGTCTGACAGCCCAAGGGCCAGTGAAATGTAATATTTTAACCAGCACCACAAAACAAGCTAAGATACTGAGAACTCAAACATAGAAGGAAAAAAAAAAGGAGGAGGAGGGAGGGAGGGCTCTTTTCAAGGAAAAATCATTTGGTTTCTCAAATGTTCGTGAATCAAAATGTAAACACAGGGTAAATTACCAAAGACGGTATGGGGCAGTCAATCAAAAATAAAAGGAAGGCTCCAGTAAGCAAGCAAAAACTGCCTTCCAGCTACACGGAAAAACACTCTAGTGCCCCAGGTAAATAAATAATAAAAGGAGGTGGAAACAATATACCTTGAAAACTCCAGATCCTTCTCTGCTCTCCTAACCAGAAGCAGTGCTGACGGGTTCATGCTGCCTGGGTTACATTCCCGGCTAGCCTTTATTTATCTAATAACACTTGCGTCCTTCTAACTGAAGCTGATCTCTGTATTTTATCAGTGTTTCCCATTATTTTACCCCAAGCTCCAGCATTAATCCCCAAACAAAAGTTATCTGACCTCTAGACTGGATGAATGCTAAAAATAAGAATTTCAGGGTGTTCAGTCCACACCACTTTTCTTCTCCTGATAGGAAGGCTCTTGGGAATATGCACCCACAAAGAAAAAAATACAAGGCACAGTGATTTTCATTCTGCCATACCTCACTCTGTTTATATATTAAAAAAAAAAAAAAACCCTTTAATTCATTCAGGTGCTGTTTCACAATTACAGCCTTAATCTGCCTTGCTCATTATTTTCTTAAACAAAAGTAATTTGTGTAACCAATAGGCACAGGACTACTGAAAAAAACCAAACCAAAAAACAAACAAAAAAGGAAAGTGGAAGTGATAATAATCTAAGATCACAGAATTTTATGAGAGATAGAAAGGGCTCTGGTGAATAAGGAAGAGGTTAAGGACATGCACCTTTTTAAGGAAGAAAACTGGTAGCAAAGAAAGGTCCAGAAAAATTAAAACATTGACTAGTTGTCATTTCTACAGCAGGCCTAGGAAAAATTCACACTTTTTCTTTTTTTTTGTTAACAATTTACTCTTCTTAGGCCAATGCTGCTGCACCTTCACTGCATAGCATCCTGCTGTTTGTCAGGGCTGCCAAGAAAAGGCATCACCAGTCCAGGATTGCAGGCTAGGCTCCTCCGTATCTGTTAGACCCACCTCCCCATGGGGTGGAGCAGCCTTTGAAAGGAGCTGATATTAAGGGACCAACCCACTTGTTTCTTGGATGTCAGTGATTCTTAGAACATGTCCTGGGATTTGATCATTCTTGATTCAACATGATTTGACTCCCCTTCACTCTTCCCTGAAAGCACAGAGATGATCACTACTATCCCATTTTACAGATGAGGAAGGTGAAGGTTTTCTTTCTCGAGGACTGTGAGCTACAAACTACTTGATGATTAGGATTGCCTTTATGTGGTCACTCCAACATCCCACGCAGAGCAAGATGTTACTAACAAAGGGCTTCTTTTTATTCTTAGGTGATGGGTGGCTGAACAGCAAGTGGAACACAGAAAATGTAATTTCTAGCTCATGGCACCAAGCTGCAGATCAGAAACCTCTAGTATGATCACTAGAAATCCTAGATCTACAATTTCCATTAAAATGAATCAGAAAAGGCCTCAGCATCCAAATCACCATTCCCCTGAGAAGGTAATAAAAGCACATGTCCACAGTCCCTGAAAATAGGCAACCGTGGGTGGCTCAGTGGTAAAGAACCCACCTGCCAATGCTGGAGGCATGGGTTCGATCCCTGCCTCAGGAAGATCCCACATGCCTGGGAGCAACTAAGCCCCTATGTCACAAGTACCGAGCCTACCCGCTGCAAATACTGAAGAAGCCTGTGCTCTGAAACAAGAGAAGCCACTGCAATGAGAAGGCCTTGCACTGCAACTAGAGAATAAACACAACTAGCTGCAAGTAGAGAAAAGCCCACGCAGCAATGAAGACCCAGCACAAGCAAAAAAAAAAAAAAAAAGGAAACCCTCTACAGAGGATCAAGCAGCCAAAACCTGGTCTCCCCTGGACATGCAGAGTGGTAGGTGTATGCCCTGGCCCCTGAAGACTCTTTGTCACCTATTTCATCTGTACTTTTCTTAGAACCAAGTGCAAACAGTTGTTAAACCACAGAGTTTCATATACACCAAGACAAGATAGTATTATTATTTAAAATCTACCTAAAAGATAAATTATGGCAAATTCATATGGTGTAACATTACAGTGGATTAATAATGGTGAGATCCAAAGTATAACATATGAAGGGAAAAGCACGTAAAATGTGTGAATCCCATGGACAGAGAACTACAGTCCATGGGGTCGAAAAGAGGTGTATGTCACTTAGTGAATTAACAGCAATAATGATCTATAAATATTTCCCAATGATTATGTACCAGATTTGTAATAATTTTTTAAAATCAATGATTTTAAGGCTCTAAAATAATTATCCCACTCCTACATGGGCACAAAGAAGCACAAAAAAGGACAGTCATTACAGCATTGTTTGTAATAGCAGAACACTAGAAAACTTAAATGTCCATCAATAGGAAAATTCAAATAAATTAGGTTACATTTAGTCAAGGTAATATAGCCGGTGTTTTACAATTATGGGCTGACATGAAACTATCCCTAAGAAATGGGTTTCAGGGCAGGGATACAAGGTGCAAGATATATGCTATCATTTGTATAAAATTATTCTTAAGAATATGCTCATATTTATTGGTACAGGTACAGACTGTCTCTGGAAGGCTTTCCTAAAAATTATAATAACATTGCCTTAAAAGAGGGAAAACAAGGGGACAGGAAACTGGAAAACAGGTGAGAAGAAAGCAGATTTTACTGGACAGCCTTTCTTTGTAATTTGAATTTTTAATGATGTGCATGTGCGTATGTTCCCACAAAAACAAAACCAAACAAAAAAAAAAACTGAAAAGCTTTTGGCGGGGGTAAGCTGCATCATATTTTTCTAAGTGTTTCAGCACCTTATTCCATAGTCTTCTGAAGGGCAGCCCCCTAAAAAACATGCTGCCTGAGCAAGCAAATCTCCTCAAGGTCTCCTGCACCCTCACGAAGACCCACCCGGCTCTTCCTGGGACGTCCGGGGCCAGCCAAAGCAAAAGCACTGTGTCTTCTGACAACACTGGCACATTCTCACTTGTATGTAGTAAATAAGAAATATTTTACCTTTCAGCAAAGATATCGAGCTTCGCCAGCTCATCAGAGAGGCCGACAAGGGAATCCAAGGTCCCCACCTAGAAAGATGGGAGAGAAGTTAGGGGCTCGGACTTTGTAGCAAGGGGGTGGGACAGTGCCCTTTCAGGGCAGGGAATTCTCTAACTTCCACCTTGACTTAGTTTTCCTTGGTCAACGGTCAGACTGGAAACCGAGATGGGCTCTCAAGAGAAACCAGCGGATTTGGGAATATTATTGTTATTATTATTATTTTATTTTTTGGCCAAGTGGATAAACTGTCATTTCAGCCACAGGCAGGAGTGATTATGTGTCCTGGTCTGGCCTCAGCTCACTTTCCTCTAAGAATGGCAGTCTAGGGGGCTCCTCTAGCAGTCCAGTGCTTAAGACTCCACACTTCCAATGCTGGGGGCGCAGGTTTGAACCCTGGTTGAGGAACTAAGATCCCACATAATTGAGTGGGATAAAATTTAAAAAGAAACGACAGTAAAAGAGAAGGACAGTTTGCTCTTCAGGGGATTAATCCTGAGAGCTGAGGAAAAGATGTGACAAAAAGCCAATCGAGGAAGTTACCATTTCTGAAAGCCTTTCTCCTCCAAGTTAGTACCGCCAAGCCTTCTGTCTGGCCCTCTCTGCTGTTATTAACAATGACCTTTCTGGGGCAAGCCCAGCTTTTCCTCCAGCTCTCATTTAGTAAAGTCCTTTTCTTTTCAGGATAGGTTACTTATGATGACCTGTTTCTTCATGTGGAAATTGCTACCGTGTCCAAAATCATATTGTCTACTCACAGAATCAGAAGGAAAAAGTTTGTTCTCACATCATCAACCACCCATCAGACACTGAGAAGTAATTAGGAAAACATGAACCCTGGATATTCCTAGAAGTGTTATTCCTTTTCAGAGGACTTGATTTTAAGTAACTTTAGGCAGAAGTCATGTCTTTTTTAAATCTTTGTACCCTTGGGCTAATACAATGCCTCACATGTAGTAAGTAAGCAATGAGTGGATGCTTCATTTACTAAGCTTCACATATGTGACCATGGACAAACAACAGCAGGCTGGAAAAATCAGCAAGAAATGAGCTCAGAAGCCAGTGTTGCTGCTTACCAGCTCCACAGCCCCAGTTTCCTTCCTCACAGCCCGTCCTGATCTATAATGTGGGAGTGGTGATGATGCACTTAAAGTTGTGTACAGGCCTCCAGTGTCCCTGTCCATAAACTCTGGCAAATGCAGTAGCCTCAACAACAACGATGCAGCTCTTTTGCCAGAGAGGCAAACAGAGGTTTAAAAGAGGATTATATAGCAATTCACCAGAAGAACTGCCTCTGGGCGCTTAGCGACATCCCTCCAGAACCTGGGGCTTCCCAGGTGGCACTAGTGGTAAAGAACCCACCTGCCAATGCAGGAGACATAAGAGATGCAGGTGTGATCCCCGGGTTGGGAAGATCCCCTGGAGGAGGACATGGCAACCCACTCCAGTATTCTTGCCTGGTAGGCTACAGTTCATGGGGTTGCAAAGAGTCGGACAGGACTGACTGTTAGCACACACCCACTCCAGACCCCAAGAGATATTTGTAGGGCAGAAAGACTGCCTTACGCTTCTTCTCCTGGAGGAAAGATGGCAAACAGTCTACTTTTTTTGAAGTTAAGAAGACTACAGGGACTTCCCTGGTAGTCCAATGGCTAAGACTCCACGCTCCCAGTGCAGTGGGCCTGGGTTCAGTCCTTGATCATGGAACTAAGATCCCATTTGCCACAACTAAGAGTTTGCTCATTTGAAAAAGACCCTAATGCTGGGAAAGACTGAAGGCGGGAGGAGAAGGGGACAACAGAGGATGAGATGGTTGGATGCCATCACTGACTCAATGGACATGAGTCTGAGTAAACTCCGGGAGTTGGTGATGGACAGGGAGGCCTGGCGTGCTGCAGTCCATGGGGTTCGCAAAGAGTTGGACATGACTGAGCGACTGAACTGAACTGAAGAGTTTGCTAAAGATCCCACAGCATAGCCAAATAAATAAATTTTTAAAGGATTACCAAATTTTTTTTAAAGATTTCACATATCTTGCTCCTATGTCATGTCTGTTTCATTTTAAAATCTCTTTCCGCCATCTACGTAGTTATCAGTGAACATCCTTCCTTCTCTCTCCACCAGAACCAGAGGGATGCTGGATTGCCTATCCTGTTCCCAGCCCAAGAAAGCAATCAAGGATGAACATCTCCAAGCTTGCACATTTAAACCATGTTGGTTTTCTTAGATGTTGAAGACAGAAAGGATCTGAGAACAACTCCTGAGGACCAAGTGTGTAAGGCACCCTTTCCACCTTTTGAACACACTGCTAGCCACATCCCGTCTCCTGCTCATTCTGTCCGTGGCTCTGTGTCCACAGTTACCACAGGTCATTTGGGACTATTCATGAAGCCCCCACCCAGGCCAGTCCCATCTGGAACCCCCTGTCCAGCCTCACACCCAGGCTGAACCCCAGTGTTGGTGCCTTTGACATATTTTTTCTCCTTGGCTTTCCAGAAGACACCCACCCCAGCCCATGACCTCCTTCCTCCTCCCCAGGAAATTGTACCTTGAAGTCAGGAATTGTGAATTTGGTGTTATAAGACAGGTTGGACTTGGAGGTAACTGTGTTCATCCTCTCCAGGGCTTGTAAATTTTCCTTATCTCCGGGGGCAGAAATTAACCAAAACTCCGACATGTTTCCAGTCTTCTTTGATCCAGCTACTAACCAGAACCACAGCAACACACACAAACAGAAACAGGAGGAAACAAGTGTCAAATATCTCTACCTCTTCACCACTCCCTTCCCTCAAAATTAATCTTCTCCGCTTTTCCCACTTCCCATTCCTTCTCTGACCTTCCAGTTCAGATTCTATGGCTCCAAGGACAGCCAAGTGTCCCAGGCTTATCTCCACCTGGAAAGCCCTCGGGTCTTCACAAAGACTCCCAAATATCCTCCTTCCCTCGGGTAATTCTAACTGGTTTTGAGGGGAGGAGGAGGAGGACTGAGGTTTCTGTCTCTGCTATTCCAGAGAAAGACCCACACGGGATATCACAAAGCAGGGGACAGTAGCCTGGGTTTGGGCACCTCCTGGACTATTTTTCTCCCTCTCCTGGGACTGTGTGTGTGCCAGGATGCAGGAACCAGAGAGGAGGCACTTCCACAAAGGGCAGCCTGGGCAAACCCAGATCTCAACTGACCAACCTTGAGATTGATGCTAATTTTAAAAGACTTCAAGGGACTTTCTCTGGTGGTCCAATGACTAAGATTCACGCTCCCAATGCAGGGTGGGGGAGGGCAGGGACTTGGTGAACTAGATCCCACATGCTGCATCTAAGACCCAGTGCAGCCAAATAAATATTCAAAAAAAAAAAAAAAACAAACTATAACTTAAATGTGAATTTACCAAGGTCATAGGATATAAAATCAAAACACAAAAATCAATTGTGTTTCTATACACTAATACGGAAAAAAAAAAAAAAAAAGACTTAGAAAAACCTCTCTTTTTGTAAACTAAGGTTGGGGCGGGGGAGGGAAAGAGAGGGGGCTATTAAAGTCATTTTCCCACAAGACTAGGTGTCATCTCTGCAGAGGTGGGTAACATGCTGAGTCTGGTTGGAAGTTTCTGTCCAGCGTCTAAAGTCGATTCGTTCTGTTCATTCAAACGTGTACACACCCACACCTTTCTCCCCTCGGCTTATTCTTCCCTTCCATCGCCTCCCAAAGCAGCTCCCCGGATGGTCACAAAAAACCCCAGGATAATAATAGCCAGAGTGCCATAGTGCAAGTCCCGTCGTTCTGGTCGACCCCCGTCTCCCTCCACTCCGAGACAATCTTCACCCCTCCTACCCTCGCGCACACCGAACGCAGTTCCTTTCGCTTTCGATCGCTGATGGCCTAGGGACAAACTGGCCCCGAGGAGATGCCACCTGCCCCGGCCCCTGGGAGGGCGCAGCAGAGGAGCTGGCTCCGGGTTCCCACGGAGAAAGCTCGTGGAGGGCGCGCGTGGGTCGAGGAGCGGGGACCAAGGGGACGCGGGCAGCTCGCTCTGGTCCCCCGGGTCGCGACGCGCGCCCTCTCCCCGAGCCGCCTCGGGTCCCCGAGCCGCCGCGCGTCCTTACCGGGAGCCCACGGGCCGCGCGGGAAGGCAGCGGACGGGCGCGGGGCCAGAGCGCACGGCCGGCTCCCGGGAGGCAGCGGCTTCTGCGCCGCTTCCCGCCCCGAGCTTTTATTCGAGCGGGAGGCGGCTCCCGCCCCGCCGGGTATTTGCATACCGGCAGCCCGCCTCCCGCTGCAGCCGCCGGGACCGGGGGCGCGGGGCAGCTGGGGCCACCGTGCCGCGCGAGGGGGCGGCGGATCCGTTCCCTTCGCCTCTTGGCCAGATCCCCGAACCCCGATTGGCTTGGGCTGGGGACCGGAGGAATTCTGGAGAGCATCAGACGGGGGTCCCAACCCCGCGACGGAGCAGAGCGGACGACCGAGAGAAACAAGGAAGGCGCTGGGGACCCGGACACCTGCCCTCCTCGCGTCTCTCCACCCTCTACTCCATCCTTGGACAGCAACCGGGGACCGGGTCTCAAGGGGGATCACCAACAGACAGAACTGACCTGTGGAAAGCGCCAGGACAGGTTCATTTATGTTTTGGAACACTCACCTGCGCAGAGGAACAGTCTTCCTCTGGACGTGGGCGTGAGCTTGCCCTCGGTTGCCAAGGAAACTCTCCAGGGCGCGCCCACCGGACTTGACCGCCTTTGTAATCGCGGTGACTATGGGAGGAATTTATCAATAAAACTACCGCGTAGCACCGCGGCTTGAGCTCACAATCTGTGCTATTTGAAAACAAGAGAGGGAACCCCCCCCCCCAGAAATTAACGTGTGTGTGTTTAAAGAAAAGAAACACACACACACACACACCTCTAAGAATTCATTTTCTCTGGAGTCTAGGAGGAAACTTTAGTGCATCCTTCTTCGTGGATGATATTTTCAGTGGTTTCTGGGAAAGATTAAAATCTCTAAATTATTTTTTAGGAGGGAGAGGTTGTTGAAGAAGTTTCAGCTGCGTCCCTGAGCGTGGACTCCCCCTCGCCTCATGAAGTTAGCCAGACTGGCCACCTGCTACAGGGAATGCTCTCAGACCTCTGGAAAGAAGCCTAAAGCGTAAGAACCCCAGATGCAGGACGGAAAGGTGACTTTTAAGGTCACGGCAGGATGGCCCTGCAATCCTATTGTGGAGCTGGGAATGGCAGGTCGGAACTCCCTGCAGCTGTCCACTGCATCATCGTGATTGGGACACGCGAGCACATTAGTCAGTCCTTGCGACACTCCCTCCCGAGGGAGGACACCTGAAACCAAGGATGAGGAAACCCAGTGTGTGCAGGATGGTTAAGTGGCAATTCCAAGGAAGGAGTGGCCTGGTTGGACACTGACGTGGGGTCTCCTATTTTGGACTTTATCTGGAATGCCATTCTTCCCAGCCAAGGAAGACAGATCCCTAGAGTCAGGCTTCCGGCTCAGACAGCAAAGAATCTGCTTGCAATACAAAAGACTTGGATTTGGTTGCTGGGTCAGAAAAATCCCCTGGAGAAGGGAATGGCAATCCACTCCAGTATTCTTCCCTGGAGAATCCCATGGACAGAGGAGCCTGGTGGGCTTCAGTCCATGACGCTGCAAAGAGTTGGCCGTGACTGAACAACTAACACACAGAGCTGGAAGCAGACCTCTTTTATGAACAGCATCAATGCCCACAGATTGCTGGTGTCACATGATTGATAATTGGCAATGCTGTGAGTGGAACTCAGGCCTCTGATCCAAATCCCATGTCCTTCTGATGCTCCCAGAAAGCCTGCAGGCAGGCCTGGGTCCTCACCGTGAGAACCTGTGCTTTCCATCTCAGTCCAGGTTTTCCCATCCTTCCTTGTTCAGATTGGGCAACGTGTTTAGAAGTGTCCCCAACTTTGCTTGTGAATCCTTTTCTTTTTATAAATCTGATTTCCTCTTTTTTGGTGAAATAAAAGTCTGACACGAATTAACTCTAGGACATCTGATTAAGAAAAGAATAAGGACTGTAGTCTTGCTCATCTTACTCAGAATCTGCGATCTTTCTGGTCTTTCGCATCTTTTTTTTTAAAAAAACCACTTAATTATTTAGTTATTGTTGGCTGTGCTGGGTCTTCGTTGCTTTGAAGGTTTTCTCTAGTTACAGCGAGTGGGGTCTATCCTTGGTTGTGGTGCTTGGGCTTCTCATTGCCATGGCTTCTCTTGTTGCAGAGTACAGGCTCTAGAGCTCGAAGGCTATATTTCCACAATTTAAAAATAACCACTGTTAATGTTCAAATTGCCTCTTATTTTTTTTAAATGTATATTCATATATACAAATATGGGCTTTAGGACATGACTGAGATTATATGTTATACATAAAGTTTGGCATCCTGCTATGGATTGCTTTTTAGAGATAAAAATAAATTAATCAGTCTATGTTATCACTAATTCACCACACTGGAACTTGAGTCAGATACATTTGATTTCAAAGGCAAATAAAGAGATCTTGCTGAACAACTTACATCTTAAAGAAAAAAAAAAAGAGAGAGAGAGAGACTGAGAGAGACAGAAACAACTGTCTTGCCCCAGGGCTTTTTGATTTGCAGTTTTCAAGACACTATATGTACTTATCCATTTTGAATCGAGGTGTTATTCTCCTGTTTCCCTATAAAGTGAGATCACTCTTTAACAGAAAGAGAGAGACATCAACCAAAAGTTGTAGAGCCTGATCCTTTAGGATATTGTGAAGTGAAAGTTGCTCAGTCATGTCTGACTCTTTGCGACCCCATGGACAATACAGTCCATGGAATTCTCCAGGTCAGAATACTAGAGTGGGTAGCCTTTCCCTTCTCCAGGGGGTCTTCCCCACCCAGGGATCAAACCCAGGTTTCCCACATTGCAGGCAGATTCTTTATTAGCTGAGCCACAAGGGAAGCCCCCTTTAGAATATTAGGAGAATACAAAACAGCATTCCCATCCCATACATCAATAGAACAAAAGTGATTTCCTTCCATATATTAGCCTGAAGCAGCGTTTAAAACCCATGTTCAAATCCTCCACCTCCCACTCCCAAAGTCTCTGAAAGCTGCTCTAAGTTGAAGTGCCTTGACCAACATTTATAAAATACCCCCAGGTTATGAAAATTTAAAAAGGTTTATAGACCTTTTTTAATTCTGGAAGAACCCAGGTTACAACCCAGGTTAAAGAATGCTATCTCTTCCCAAGGAAAAAAAAAGACCGGGGAGGAAATGCCATCAGCCTTGAATCATCTCTAGCGTATTATGAATTTGGCTTTGGCTAAATATTCCAGAAATATTTCTGCAGCTGTCACTGGCTGTGCACTGAGCCAGCTAAATTGTGCAGAAGGGAACAGTCCCATCAGGTTTGGGAACCAGAAGGACAAGGCTGGTGTTTTTGGTCTGTTGTCCACTGGCCTCTCCCACACGGTGCCCTCTTCCTTACTGCATGGAGACAACTCTTTTCAAAGATGCATGATTCCACCTGCAATCGGCTTGAGTGGATTTTCTTAGACTTTGCTGAGAAGGACCCAGGGAAGTTTTTCTGAAGGGACAGGTCTCTAGAGGAGAAAAATGCAAGCTGAATTGTCCCTGGAGTGTCAGCATGGGGTTGTAGGAAGAGATTAGGTTTTGGAATCAGATAATCTGATAAACTGCTTAACCTCGTTGAGCTACAGTGTTCCTATGTTTAAAAAGGAGGGCAATTATGCTCACCTTTCAGGCCTGCTGTGAGGATGAAAGAAAACAGTGTTCGAAGCACCAAAGTCGGAGCCTGAGAACCAGCTGTGCTCAGTAAACGTTCCCTTCACCTCTCACTCCCTCTGCTTTCTTAGGTCTCTAGGGGTTTACGTTTGGCATATTATTTGCCATTACGTTTGGCATATTATAATAATACCTTGTTATTGCCCGACATCTTTCTCCAGGGACTCAGAGTACTTTGATTTACATTTTGTCATCCAGCCAATACCCTTGTGATTTTAAGGACAGCGTCCTGATGGTGTACATTTTTTTTCTTGAATAAGGCCGAAGAATTCTCATGACTCCTTTACTCAAGTACACAGAGATAAGTGTTCATTTCATTTAACAAGTTTTTTTTTTTTCCAGTATCTTCCAGCCTCCGTGGAGTTTGCAAAAATAAATCAGTTTTCAGACCCGTGGTAGAGCAAAACAAGCATGGTAAACAGAATTTCGAGCTGTCCCGACTCATGAAGCCATGAATACAAAACGCAGAGCAGGATGTGGCACATGCATGAAAATGAGATATAAACATTCAAGAAGTGCCATGATCCTCATTTCAGATGAGTGAGTCGACTGAGAGTACAGTCAATGGTAGGCCTGGGATTTGAACTTCATTCTTCTGAGTGTTACATGACAATATCTAAACGACTCCTCCAGTCCACAGAAGCAGCTTCTAACCCACTATGTGGAGTTCAATTCCTGGTTTTTTCACTCATCAGCCAAGTGAACTTGCACAGTTACTTGGGCTCAGGGGGCTGTAAAGTGGCGATAATAATCGTTCCTGTTTTGTAACTTTTTTCTGAAGATTAAACAACAGGGCTCAGCGACCGGTCCCTACCAGTCGTCAGTCAAGGTGTGCTCTGAGTATCAGCCACCTTAAAAAGCCCCTCTGTCTCCTTGGCCTCTGTCTTCTTTTGTTTCTCATTTCCAAGTTCCTTTTCCCCCCTTCCTGAGTTCTTTTGGAAGATACTGATTCTGCCCAGATGTAAACACGTGACCCATCTGTCACTCATGCATTCAGTCACGTCTCACATGTCTTTGATGGAGTTAACCCAGGAGGAAGGAAGGAGCAGCCAGTGCTTAAGGAGGAGTCTCCCGGCTCCAGCAAAGAGAACCCACC